CTGAAGAAACTGAAAATAGGAAATAGCTTTAGTAATCTGCCTCTGGGCAGCTGAAGTTGGCATGACAGACAAAATGAGTCTGAAGCCAAGAAACAGGCTAAGACAGATTTGGGCTGCCCAACCTATCTCCCGTTAACAGAAAAAGTCAAGTCAAAGAGTTCAAGTGTTTTCCAATGATGATGGAGCTGACAGCAGAAACAGTTCAAGTAGTATAGCACTGAGATAGGTTTTAGTGGGCATTGTGCATTAGGTTACAGGTTGGACTTGATCTTGGAAGTTTTTTCCAGCCTTTATGATTCTTAATTCTTAATGGTTGGATGGATTACAAGCATGTAGTGGAAAAACAGGTGAGAAAACTGATATGGTAATCACAAAAGGTAGAATTGAATATTAAATTATGAGGCAGATTAAATAAATTAATAGCTTTAGTGTAGCTATATTGTTTGAATCAAAACCACCTCAAAGTAAGAGAATGATAGAAAAATTCTATTAGTTTTGTGAGTCTGTAGGATATTGTAGGGTTGAATTTGCATATTAAAAGGGATCTTTTTAAAGAATTTTATGTTTTAACATTCTGTGCGTGGTTAAAGCTTTTAAGTACTACTAGGAGTTGTGACCATATGGGTGGGCAGCCCTGCATATGGAAGTATTTAACTTCTTCAGAATAAATTGGAGAACAAATGTTGATAGTACTGGTTATTTCTGCTGATAATAGCTGACAGTTTTTTAACTTCATCAATAAGGTTTCATTTAAGTAATGAAGATATTCTAGATGAGCCGATTGAGGAATGTATGATATGTGGTTCAGATAAAATTAAATGACAGGAGGAAAAGAAATCTGTGTGTAACTGAGGATTTCAAAGCTCAATACTCTACAGGTGTGAATCAATCTACCAAAGAAGCCCTGAAACTTAAATGCGGAAATGGTCTGGAACTTCCTTATTCAGAAGCTTTCACACTCTCTGGCCTTAATACCTGGAACAAAGGAAAAAGCGTAGAAATAATTTAACTGCACCAATAGCCAAATAATTAAAAGTAAATTAGCAAAATGAAAAAGATTGCAGAGAGGACTGACAGGCATACGCAAAAGAGTTAGAGAAGGATAGGAGTAAGGTGAGTTAAAGTCAAGCAGAGCCAAACCTTGCACTGGATATTAAACATGATAAAATTAGTCAGCCTTAAGCAAGCAGCTTCAAGAAACAAACCATTAAGAATAACATGTAGTCACTGTTCAGAGATTAAATGTATTGCCTTAAAGATAATGAAATGTGTTATTCTGTCTTCGTTACAGGCATTGGTGCTGATTGTGGTGAGAATTGGAGGTTATGTAGTAGGAATAAGTCCACAGGCTTAATAAAAATCATCACAACCAAGATCCAAGCAGTTTGATGGAGTGAAGGATGGCGATTAGTAATTCCTTGGCCAGAAAGATACTGGCTTATGAAGTCTCATATCTGACTATGTGACAGCAAATACACAGTGATTAGGGAGAAGGACTGGTTATAGGTGCACTAGTCGTACTTTGAAGCTTGAGAACAACTTTTGAAGGAAAGCTTTCCTGTACCTGCAAATAAATGCTTGACTGATTCCAGCTTTGTTTATAGACATCGGCTGTCACAGGACTGCTGGTGTTGGCAGTGCTGCAGGCAGTGCACACACTCCTCCCCAGAGACCATGTGTTCTTGAGGGCAACAAAGTTTTGAAGCCCTATGCTGTTATCCTAAAGTTTATCCCAACTTTGGGCTGGAACACTTCTGTACAATTTGGATCTTTAGGTAGCATCAGACATTTTTTTTTTTTTTAAGGTATCTGACCATGGCTCAGTCTAGAAATTATTCTTAATTCCTTGCCTGTAATTTAATTTTCATGCATACTGGGCAGATCAAGATTTGCACAAATATGAATTTCAGTTGTAGGCTAAGATTTTCTCATACAATGCACCAAAACTTAATACAGGTGCAGAATTGACATGGAGTTTCTGTGAGATTCCCCTCCCACTGACTTATGAGTGCAGTGAACTCTGAAGTGATCTTAACTTTCTTCTTGAGAATGAGAAAGACTGTGAAGAACACACATGAGTCTACAAAGATTTTCACATAAGAATCAAGTCCACTGGATGAATTTCAAATTTTATCCTGTAAGGTAAGTGCTTTAGACCTTTTACTAGCACTAGGCATAAATTAAGTTGTGGATTGCGATCTATTTAGAAAAATTAAGTTTATTTCTAAATTGTATTTAAGTGGTGGTGTTGTGAATGAGGTGAAAAAACTCAGAACAGATCTTTTCCCAATAGGTTTCTTGACAAAGGAATTTTCTTTTTGACCATCAGAACCAACAGCTTAACAAAAAGCATCCTAAATACCACATTTTCTCTAACATATCTACAGGGACTATAAGAAAAATAGGCCCAACCCAAATATCAGAGAGTAAGTCACAATTTGTGACCTGTGGTCTTCCCCACAGTTTAGGACTGTCTGTTGAACTGAGGTTTGAGGAGTTGTTTCCAGAACTGAGATGAGGTGGTGGTAGGCATTTTTACAACTTAAGTCATTTTAGTATTAAAATTATTGCTTAAAGTGCTTGTACTCTATAAAGAGTGCTGGAAGAGGACTGTATGATGAATAATAAGCTTAGGCAATACTGATAAATTAAAAATAAAACCTGGCTTTAGAATTTGCTTAGAGGAGCTTGTGAATGTTTAAATTTTCCCAAAATTAAATATCAAATTATAGGTAATGCCTGGCATCCTTTGTAGAAATGTAATTCAGATACACTCACCAAAAGAGCTCACATCATTAGCAGGGTGATTGTGTCATCATCCATTGAAATGTTCTACACCATTGGTGTTTTTTGGCAAACTGACTTGTTTTCACTTGACATTGCTGTAACCTCTGGGAAAGAAAGCCCTACCTTTCTGTGAATAATTCATTAGTGAGCCATCCCACTGAAGTATTCCCTCCTTTTGAGGGAGGAGGGGAGGGATACCAAAGGTACTTACTTTAAGTTTTGGGGTGGTTTTTTACTTTTTTTAATGCTACCTTGCCATCTTAACACTTCTAAGTATTCTTCCATAGGACAAATACTTCTCTCCTAACATAGAACTGACTGTCAGTTCTGATCCTTTGGTTTGTGAATTAATCCATATAATTTTTCCAAAGGGTTCTGGATCAGAGCAGTGGAAAGCTGCTGATGCAGTGTAACCTTTCTGATAGTGCTGGACAATAATGCCAGTAAATCAAACTTTCAGAAATCTAGCTAGGAAGCATGGCTGGCTGTTCAGTAAAACGTGCTAAAATAAGTTTGAAATGACTGTGTAGACTTACATTGCCAGCAGTGAGCATGCAGGACATGTAGTACACCCTTGGCAGAACCAGGGGAAGGAGCCCTTTCATATTTGACCAGAGAATGGAGGGCTCAGTGTTCACAGGCATGTTTAAAGCACTGGTGAAAATGTTTACATGGAGTTGATTTGTCTGACTTTTGAAGTGTAAAAAGTCTGTATCTTCACTTTACCTGGATAAATGTTCCTATTGCATGTAATAATTTTAAAAAAATGTGTTGAAACAGAGAACCCAATATAGCTTTTTTAAAAATTTATGTTAGGTAAACCTTTTACTAGGTATCCGGTTTGAAGGCTCTACTAATGGCTTTTTTTCCTAAAACTGTATCAGTAGCAGGTGTTCACTTGGTTCTTTACTTTTTAACTTCTAATATGTATTTTTTCATATCTGCTAGAAAAGCTTTACTCTCAGTTTAAAGCATGTTCTTGATAACAGACAGGCAAAGGCTGGATGAACTGTTCTTCTATTCTTATGTGCAATATCTTGGGTATTTGAAGGGCTCTTTAGTGATCCCTTCCTCTAAGAAGCTCAAATAATTCCTGGTCTTTTATTAATCTGTCAGAGCAGGGGTTGCTTCTGAATTTATCTTAGTATTTCTGTCTGAAACAGCTGTGCAGCCTATGCTTCAAATTGCCAGCATTAAATCAACATAGTTTTCCTCCTCATTCTTCATCAATTTGTCATATAGATAAGCCCACTACCTGCACTAGCAATCTTCCATTATCCACTGTTCTTGCTGGTTTCTTCCGTATGCTCCCATCAACACGCACAAAGGCTTTTTACCCTCAGATATATTCTGTCTTTCTCTCTTTAGGTTTTTTAAGTCCACTGCATAAGACAATGTCTACAGATAGCTAATGACTCTAAAATTGAGCATGACATATGACTTATTTTGCCAGCAATATAGCTAGGTGATTTGGACTTTAATATCTTGAGATCGTATAAAGGAAATTAAAACATTATGAAGCAGATAAAAAGAAAAAAAAGTCACAAGAAAAAGGCATCTTAATGGTTTTTGTTATTTATTTAAACTCTAACATCCAAATTTCTTTTCTAATTACTGAAACTGTAAACACTGAAAATGTAAACATTTGAGGAATATAAATGAATACACTGTACCCTCCATTATGCACTGTGCAGAAAATGTCCTTTGTGATCAGAGTTCTACCCCATGAAATTTAATCTTCATTCAGATTCTTCTGGGATTTTTCATATATTTGCCTGTCTTTAAATGTGCTTTTGTGACATCTGTATATGTAACCTCCATAACTAAGATGTGCTTATTTGCATTGTAAAAGAGTAAAATGTTTCCAGTGCCAGTGTTATAATGAATACTATATTTAAAAGATCATGTCTCATTTTCCTATGTGCTGTGTTGGCAGCAGCGTTGTAGTCTGTCCTGATATTTCACTGTATAAATTAGACAGCTAAGGAAGGGAGGAGAGCAGCAGATATAGATTGAGTGACCTGTTCCATATCACAACACACAACTTAGACAGCATGAGAAGCAGATTCCTAGACCAACCTATTAATTAAGGAGTCATCAGAAACATAGTCCTGATTTTTAGGAAGAGGTGAGGAGTTTTGAATTGTCTTGAATTTTATTTTTGTCATCTTTGTGCCTCTCTACAGAAATAATTGTAACTGTATATGATGGCTTTTGTAAATGTCTTTGAAACAGTTTCAGTAACTATTGCTTCCAATGGTCATTCCAGAATGTTTTTCTAAAATGAAAAAAAAAAGAAAACTAACTTTTTTTCACAGGAAGAAAGATATTTCAAAGGTTTCTGGTTTTCCTCCATTAGAGCTCAAGAACAAGTTGAAAAGGGGCATATGTTTTTGAGTGTGTAACTTCCATGTATGAACATACTGGATGCTAAAAAAAGAGCTGATAGACTTTTTAAAAAGGAATAGGTATATTTGTATGAAGAAAGATTAGAAAAATAATCTAAACACCTGAAGAAATAAATAATTAAGAACAGAAAAAATGGAGACTCCTCTAAAAAATGTTGTGCAAGGTGTTTGCAAATAAATACTTTAAAGGAGGTGAATCCTATTTCAAATCAGACCAAAGCTGCTGATTCCCTTTGCTTCCCTATGGCTGCAGCTGTGTTCCACTGACACAAATGGCTCTTCCTGGGGACTACATCTTTAGTTACTGGAACAAGAGTCATCGTAATGTGCAATGGGATTTCAGTAATGCTTTCAATTGGCTATTAAAACACAACACTGCATAAGCAAATCACAACTGCTTGCTTGCAGATAGAGCTGCCAGTGACACAGATACCTATGTGTTATTCCCTTCAAAGAGGAGCTACTAGAAAAATTGTAGGGCAGCAAGGAAATGTGTGAAAAAAACCAGATGCTTAGTGATGTAGTCTTACTGCTGTCTGTCTTCCCATCTCACTCCGAATTTTCTGTTTCATTTTATGATCTCCAAAATACTGAGTTTTCATAGCTTAATTTATTTTTTTCCTCACATCACAGGGAATGCCTAACAATATCAAATAGACAAAAGCTGATTCAAAGTATGCCGATGTCTTCAAAAAGGTCCCAGTTTTTACCTGCACAAAGTAAACATTTTGCTTGGGAGAGTGCAATATGATGTGTGTTAACAGAATGCTTTGCCTTTTCCTTGAAAAAGGTCTCTTAATTTAGAATTTGTGCGTTAAAGCAGGGGTAAACCCAAATGATGATTGTAAAGCTCACAGCCCATTCTGCAAGATAGAAATTATTAGGGTAAAGAAAAAAGTTAAACGATGTTGAGGAATTGTAGCATAATGTTCCTTTCTCTTCCCTAGTATCCCACAGTAAATATTAAAAGGGAACCACATGTGAGCTGACTTTAGTGCAGCATGTGCTCCTGGCTTCTCAGGACCTCATCCAGGATGTGCAGAATTTATCTGCCAAGGATTTTGCAGCTGTGGAGGTTGTTGGTCTCACAAGTGGTGCAGGACTCCTCATCTAGCTCTGAGGACTTGTGTGTCAGGGTAGGATGCTGTTGTGTGAAGGTATTGAGATACCTAGTAAAGAATAATGTACATTTCTTGGGGCAAGTAAACAGGGACTTAAAAGTTCTTCTGGGTGCTTAGAAATTGAGCCCCACAACAGCCGTCAGTATCTGTTCCTAGGCTTTTGATTTTCATAGGTTCGTGCTTTTGTCATTAGCTTATTCTGCCCTTAAATATAGATTGCAGCTTGTCAGGGTTTTAATTTGAGGAGTTAAGCTTTACATCCTGGATCTATGAAGTTGTATCTGTATATGAACAGGAGAATAGTAACAGTTCAAACACCAGCATGTATTTCAGGCAGACCCTGAATACTCAAATAGTGTTAGGATTCAGGATCTTTCCAATGACAGCCATGACTGCTTTGTTTAATGTCAGGACTCTGAAAGATCCTTTCCTAACCAATGTTGTTTACCTATCTGTCCCATAAAGAGAAAAGAGACACAGATCTTGCATTTGAGTTACTCTCTCTCCAGCTGGAAATGTTGTGTAGTACATTCTTTATTGTATTTATTACAGAGTATGTGGTACCTGCTTGAGTATAGCAAGACCACATACTTGAATTGGTTTTTTTTTTATTGTTTATGACATTTTCCCAGTGATTTGCACTCAAATCTTATTTTTGCAACAGAATTTCAGTCTCATCTCGCATTCTCTACCCTTTATTTTGTCATCGGAACTGTTAAAATTCATAATAAGTGATTTGGCAGTCTGTCTATTTGTAGACAGTTTATTTGGGAACAGTAATGGTTATCTTGTAGATATTTCCATCATGATTTTTTGAAACACAGCATTTGGCTTTAAAGTATTTGAAAATATCAGTGATTGAAATATGAACTGTATGGTACTATGATAAAAAGTATATTCTGGTTTTGTTTTCTGCTTGGAGAGGAATCAAGTTTCAACTCAAATGGTCATGGTTGTTTCTTTGTATTTTGTTTCTGGTAGGTTGTTCTACAAACCTGCAGAGTAATGATACAGAATAAAAACCTCCTGAATAAATCCTAAATGTTATGTATATGTTTTATAGATATATAGATTTGCCAGCATAGAATATTTGTAATTTCAAGGTTTTTAGTTTCCTTATAGTTTGGATAGGATTTTTGTGTGTCAGAAAAGAAATGTCTGTCATTATCTTCAACTGATTTTTTGCATTAGTGTAAGGCAATTATAAATAAGTCTGGTAAAAATAGTCTCCTTTGATTCTTTAGTAGATGTTGCATGAATTAATCAGTTTCTTTATGTATGTATGTGAATTGAAAGACTAAAGAGGAGTAGGTTTAGGGAAGTTGAGAGCTGCTGGGAAGGGGACAGTGGACAGTTACTTAGATTCAGCGTGAGACTAGAGATGCAACTGCTTTTAATATTGATAACCGTACCTAATTTTCTTCTGGTGATTTGTGTCATTTCAAAGACATGATTTTAAAGGGTGAAGCTTTCTGTGGAGCTGTCAAAATTTTATATTTCACATTTCTGAAATAATCAAACTACATCTTCTTATAAATAACTAGAGAGACTGAGGTGCTTTTCACATGCAGTATTGCGCTTAGCACAAAAACAAATGCTAATGTGACTATCAGTACAGGACCAAACTTTATCTGAGATCTGGGGTGTTGCCATGGCAATTCCAATTGTTGGAAAAAAATTCTCTTTTGTGCTTCATTCTGACATTATATTGCAAAATGATGATTATGAGGAAACATACAACCCAAAAAGGGGGGGGAGGGATCTCTTCTTGAAGATGTAAAACACACTTTCTATCACATTTACTTTTTCTGAAACAGAGTGTGTGCCCAGATTGTTACGAGCTGTATTCTTTGCAGATTCAGATACATTGTTATTTCTCAAGCTGCCATAATAATACTCAATGTTATTTCTCCCAAATGTAATAATCAACATAATAAGGAACTCTGAGAAATATATCCCATTTCCTATGCAAAATATTGGTTTCTAGTGTATGTTATACTGCTGATGTGGCCCTTTTGCTTTTAACAATACTGCCTATGTTAGCTGAAGCATATCTACAATACAGATCTCGCTTAAGTTATTTATATATATCAGCTCTATAATCTATGTATAATAGAATAGCTCATACTAGCTAATAGATCAGCCATTTCTGTTTAGTTATAAAATTGTTTTTCTACCAGTACATCTCACTGTGACAAAATTGATATGGCTATTACCTGTTCCTTGCTAAATCAATACACAACAAGCTTTAAATAAATAAATAAATAATAACACACCCCTACGCCCCCCCCACAAAACCCCAACAGCTGAGCAATAAAACCACACAATACTTCCCAAAAAAGAAGCAAATGAAGGAGTACAGTTAAAATGTAGTTTGCACTGCAATTCATGCTGAAGTTTATTGTGGATTCTTTTATGTAGGCAATGTGTAAACTGGGAAACATTTCCAGAAGAAAACTAATTCTTGCAGTGCTGCATTGCTGCTTTATAAATAAATCATTGTCCTTTCTCTATTGATCACTGGAACAAGCCAGTCGAAGAATGCTGACTTAGTGCAGCCCTATGCAGGATGGCTGGATTGAGAGAAAAAGCCGGGTAAGTGGGACCCAGCAGCAGGGAATTGGGAAAATCCCAGACTGGTTAGAGATCAGGTTTGGTGCATGAAATTCTTGACTTTCTTTTACCTCCAAAAAAACTGGACAAAGCAGCTGATTTCTACAAGATTTTCTGTCCGTCTTTTCATAATGTCATTGATCAGGAGAATATAAATTTAAGACAATACTAGTTTTAATAAGTGGATGATGCTGAAAATCTGTGTTTAATGTACTGTGATTTTTTTTTTTTTTGAGAACACAAGAAAAGACCTTCCAAATTTAATTAATGATCTCAATTATGATATTTATTTGTCAAGAAATAAGGGCTCAGATCTTCCAGGAATATGTTAGAATTTGTAGACTCTCAGAAATAGTACTGCATTCCTGTGAATTGAGGTGGAATCTGAATTTTATTTGGTTATCACAGATAACCAAGATCATAGCTTGCCAGTCTGACAATTTGATGATGTCTGATTTGTCAAGACTTCAGGTAACAAGCCTCGAGGCTTTTCTGGGAATAGGAGTAGCCCGTTACAATGAGGACCTGAGAAGTACTACTTGGATTTGCATATTGGACCAATAAGATCAGTATTGGATCTCAGAGGCATATATACTTTTTAAAACATTGCTTTCACCGAAGCCTGTGGTAGATATCTATAGCAAGAGTGTATACTCACAATGTTGTTATCCAGAACTTCTAGCTACTTCTAGAATATAAAGTTCTTGGTTTTCATAAAATAAGATTTACTGGTAAATGCAGTGCTCAGCTGATAACAGGTTACTCAGGGCCATGGTGATGCATTGCTCTCAGGGCATGTTGTCATCACATCACTTTTTATTTTGTTTCTCATTAATTACAAATACTTCCAGGATGCAGGTCCGTAAAATGTAATTATTTATTTTACTGTGTGTTTTATCTCTAGTGCTGCAGTCAGAGGCAGCACATGCTGCCGGGCTCTCAGCAGTGCGCCATTGGGAGGCTGAGAGGAAGCCAAGGGGCTGACTTTGCTGGCTGCAGTCAGAGGTGAGGGGCATGGAGCAGCTCGGAGTGTCCCATGGCTCTGTGCCCCTCACTGCTGCCGGGGGGCTCCTGCTGCCGCCGCACCTCTGCCCAGCGCCCGCTGATAAACCTGCACCCAAAGGACTACAGGGAACAAATCTGGAGGTACAGAAAGAGACTACGTGTGTCGATGCTACTACCATGGCAGAAAGCACCTGGCACAGCCCTAGTTTCCATTGGACTGGCAGTGGATAGGCTTTGCTTTCCTCTCCCAGTGTCCGAGTATCAATCGGTTCGTGCCTTCTGCTAGGTTGCTAAAAGGCCTGTAATTAACATGAGCATAATAATCCATGCAGTATTTCGTTATCTGAAATAATGGGATCTATTAAACAAACAAAAAACCCGGTGTTTATTATTACTCCTGCGCTTGACCGTCCCCCTCTTCCAGCTGGAGCAGAGCCTGGCCGCTGGCCACTAGATGCCAGTGTTGTATAAGGACAAGTTGGGCGTAATGATTTAGACAATGAGTAATTTACTTAGAGAACATGTATGTGTGTAATTAGGAGTCATCAATGTCTTTCTTTTAAAATAAAATAAGTTTACCATATCTAATTAGATATTTCTTATAAGATGGATTTCATTCTAATTGGGTAAAGCTATGCTACTGATTTAAAATACAGCAAAGGATGTATTTGTATTCACTTTCACAGTTTCCATATTGTTTTAGTCCTTGCAATAAATGGATCTGATTACACCTTTTAAATCGATGTTCTCTCAAACTGGTATGACATAAATGATTGTTCTGTCATTGTGATTTTACTGCCATTGTTTTCAGCATGTGAGGTTTTTTTAGTGATATCTCTCTTAATCTCATTCTGTCTTTCCCTATTCTCCTGGTTGTGATCTTAAATCTGCATGTTCTTTCCATCCAAACTGAAGTAATCTATTTAAAGAGCCAACAGCGGCCACCACGGATGACTCTGGCTTGACCATGACAGCACAGGCTTTCCAGCAGCAGTGAGCTCAGTAACCCACAGCTAATGAGCCAGAACTCCAAAATGTCTGTTGTGCAAGGGGCTTCTTTAAAAGCTCAGATTTCCTGTAGCTGAGTGTTGCCAATGGAAATCTCGATTTTGCAGATATTGGACTATATCCAGCCTAGGTGAAATTCAAATTCAATATTTTTTTTGCAGGGAAAAGGAATGCCTTGAAGTCTCAGTATGGATTCAGAAGGCACTGGCTAGTCATTGTCACACCCGGTGTAGGTAAGGCTTACACCCCTTCCCAAAGTGGTTTTATTAGTGCCTGAATTCTGTTCACCAATCTGAGTTCTGGATTTTGCCACCAAAATTCTGTGTTGCATGCTAACATAAGAACTATGCTCGTTTTACTGTTCTTTCAGATCTGTGGGAGTTTTGGTATGGGTAATCTTCCTCAGAGCAGCTCTGGTGACACCAGGCTTCAACACTGACCACTCCCACCTTAGGAGTGTTCCCATCAGGCTGTTCCTGCCTCTGTCTGACGCATGAGCTACTCTGGTGTTTCCCAATTATGACCAGAACTTGTCTATTGAATCTTGATGGCATCTTTCAGATTTCTCTAAATTAGCTTCTGAAAGAAGCTACTCCTGCAACAAAACAATGGCAAAGTGATTTTGGAGTAATTTTCAGATTGTGGTTTATAACTGCATTGCGCCTCAGAAATAGCTTGTCCCAGTGGGCATGGCTTTTTCTGCTATCCCTATCTCTCATATATCAAATTATGGATTGTTACACGAAAGTTGTATCTCTGTCTTATTTATTGAAGTGTTGGTTCACTAAATAAAGGATCTCAACAGTGATTTGAGCTGGCTGAAAACCTGCTTGAAATTTATGTATTTCAGTGAAAGGTTTTCAACAAGCTCTATTTCTGAAGCTAAAGTACTTCAATTCCCAATGACCAAATTCATTAAAATATAAATTAGCCTAAAGAAACATATGAATCACAATGGTATATTTTCATATCATCCATTTGGTGTGCCTATAACAGTTTCTTCGTGTGGACTAACAGCTACAGCAGTCATCACAACCACAGAGTTGAATAAATGGCTGTGGGGTGAACGAGAAAGCAAAGAGGACAAGGATGAAAATTCTGCTGAATAAGAAAGAACACTGAAGAATTCTGAAACTGAAATTAAAACCCTTGTTAAACCAGTTTCCCTCACTAAGACATGTCTTAGCTAATCAATTAGCATTGACTGTCTCAGTATTCTCATAATAGGAAAGCATTTAAGGAAATGTCATGTTTCGTTTGTATTTTCAGAACTGTTGATAATTACTGATTATGGCACAAGAGTGAATATCATCTAGGAAATAAAGGTGAAGAGGGTGGAATGAGAATGTCTTATCTCAGGGGAGTTAAATGATCCTCCTGCAGTAAGACCTTTGCATCCTCCAAAGACAGCAGCAGAAATTTCTCATAAAGTTTGACCTGTTGTTCTGTAAGTAATATATCTGAGACTCCAATACAGAGTATCTTGTCAATTCCTTTTAATAAATGAAACTGAACTGATACAGTAGCTCAGGTAGTTTCTCTGATCTGTACCAGTTCTCTGGTCTATGCCTTCACATGTATTTCCATGAATTGTTGATACACTTGGTCAGTGAGTTTTCTGTGACTTCAAAGCTAAGCCTTTCACTTTGCTTTGTATAAAACATGCCCAGAAGCTGGATTCTGAAGAAAATAAGTAGAGAGAAAAATATTGATTTTAGATGTTAGGATAATCTAAGAAAAATGGTTCAAAAATAAAAGAGTGGAAACCCCTTTTTCTTTCTTTTTTTTTTTTTTTTTCATTTTTATTTTATATATTTGTCATTTGTTGCAAATACTTCCCAGAAAATTCTTTTGTAGTTAAGTAATTAGCTCCATATAAATGCAAACAGTAAATGCAAGTATTGCATTTGTGACATCCAGAAAGTGCTTTGGCATTCTTAAGAGATGATGTTCTACATCTTTTCTTCATCTTTGCAGGGGAAAGAAGGAAGAAAGCATTGGTTTGTCTTCAAGAATGATGGGCATCAGGTTCATTCTTGGATTTTCTGAAAAGACTTATGTTTGATATCATAGAGCACAAACTTGATTAGCTCTAATGTAATTTGTTAGCTTTTTTGATGCAACTCAGTGTATGTCATTGTGCATTGCTCCGATCAAGTAATGTTAGGGAGACAGTCAAAAGAGCCAATTAGTCACAGATTTATGCCCTTTCTAGAAGTGGCTAGAACATTTTGAATCCTATAGGAGAATAGACCTTTACACTTCTAACTCACCTAGAATATCTTTAAAAATATGACCTTTAATATAATCCCATCTTTCTGAACAGCTGAAGGGGTCATCCTAGCGTTTCCAGATAAATTTGGATACAAATAAAATGAGGAACTACTGAGTTCTCTTCCAACTGAGAAAGAGTAAATCATAAGATGTGAAAAAAAAGTGCCATGACTAAAGCTTTTAAAAAATGCAATTTTACTGTATTATTATATCTCACTAGTCCTTCAGTCACATGAGAACACAAAGCATATAAGTAACCTAAGTATGACTATTGCTGCTCTTTAGAAAAATGGTTCAATAATTCATTGATCTCCTATTGCTTAAGTTTGCCATCTAAAATATAATCCTCCTTTTACTTGATATTGTCAATTTTTTTCATGAGTGGAAGAGTTTTTAATATTCAATTTGGTAGCATTTGAAATCAGCCTGAAATAGACAATTTTATGAGAGTTTTATAAACTTCATTTAAACTGAATCCAAGGAAATGTGGAAAGAAGTATTGTGGATGAGTAATTTTTAAGGAATTGGGAGGAAGAGACACCATTATGTAAAGGAATGTTTAGTATCAAAGCATATAAATAGCTTTAGCTGACAGCAGAACAATAACTTCAAAAGTTAACAAATCATTCTCAAATTTTGATAGAAAATGAAGCTAGAAAAAGAAAGCTGGATTTATTCCATTCTGAAGATAAGAAAGGCTGTTTTAATTGTGATTTTCAAGGAATTCAGACATGCTCAACTTTTGATTTCAGTGATTTTAATCCTGATTTGCACTAATAAAAACTAGGTGCAAATGAAGGCTGATGAGTCTGTATTGAAGTTAAACGAATAGTTGAAAATGTGTATGAATATTCATTTAAATTCAGAAATTAAGTCCAAATTGATCATGCTTATGACTTTGCTCTCTACAAGCATACATGCACTTGAAATTAACTTTCATGAATATTTGCAAAAGCAAATTTTCAACTAGATATTTCATATACTTGCAGAAAATAATTTTGCAGTGATATATTTAATTGTGAAATTTGGATTTTACATCATGCTGCTTGATATTTGTGATCTGTTCTGTGGGACTGCATATTTGAAGGCCTTCAAGAAGGCTTAAGCTGGATGGAACACTTTGGAAAACCCTTACCTTGTGAATTACAGGATTCATCAAGAAGCAGAAACAAATTAGAATATACAAGAAAATAAGAAACTGTGCTGATCTCCAATTTTCAGTTGAGGATTTAAAAAAAAAAAAAAATATTGAATATTGTACTTCATCATGAAGTCAGTCTTAGAGGCCAACTTCTCCTCATTTGTGCTGTCAGGCCATGATCACAGCCAAGTTCAGTGCAGAACTGAATGTCCAAGCAGAATAATTTTAACAAAGTGGTTGTTTGGATTTTTTACCGTTGAAGATGAGGATGGTGATAGATTGCAAAGGCTGATAGTTTGGGGTAGCTTAGAAAAAGTGGCATACATGCAATGACTGTCATTGCAGCTCCAAAATGGTATGTGTGGTTTCAGTTAGAAGCTGACTTCACGTAATAAGTCCTAGATCTAATAAGATATTTGTGTAAAACTGTTCTCATGGTGAATCCAGTTTAAACATTATCTAGAGCCCGCTGACTTGCAGGAAGAACTGAAGCTGAAAACAATATTCCTACTAAGGAACACAATAGAATCTCAGGAGGAGAAACCAACACCAGCAGGTGAGTTGAGAGGACGTGGGCCTGTTTGGCACAGGTACTTTTGTCTTCCTAGAAACAAGGAGAAGCAGGAAGGACACTTGACCCTTCCATGAATGCAGTGGGCTCAGTTCTGGCCAGAGCTGTGATCCATGGGGCTCAGAGGAGAAGCTGCTGGTGGCCTACATTGGTGGCCACAGCAGGCCACGGGCCAGGTAAGCTCTCCCACCCAGAACAAGGGAAAGGGGCTGCTCAGGAGGAGCAGCCTGAGCGAGGTTTGCACCTGGCCTTAGCAGCCCCCTGTGCTACTAATCTTGCAGGGGAGGAGAGGTCCTCATTGATAATTGCAGTCCAGGAATGTACTTTTAAATTTCAGTTTAGTTTTTATTTTGTGAGTTCATCCACTGTTGTGCACAGGAGTGTAACCACTTATTTTGTTACTGAATTGTTACTAAATTTTTAAATACAATGCACTTTGCTCAACTAAATGTGTCCTGATTTCATCTTTTACCTTGGCAACTGAACGGCATATTCCCTATGGCTGATTCAGGGCACTTTCTTACTGGTGGAGCAAGGACATACACACACACACAGGTATTCTCTCAGAGCAGGGGAGTGATTTCCCACCTAGTTACTGGAGCCAGCTTGAGGGCAGATAACAGGCAGTGCTGGGTCTGTCTCCCTCAGCAGGCACAGCCAGTGCCTCTAACAAGCAGCAGGGTAGGGGGAGATTGTTTATGATGCATAAGGTAGCATAAGAGGGTAATACAACTCAAAAGAAATTGAATCAGGTTCTGAAACTGAGACAACCAAATTTTTCAGAACAACCAGCCTTGGCTTGCTAGGGTATTGAGTACCTTGGATTCCATGTTCAAATATTTTACAAGCTAAAATACTGTTTATTGGAAGAAACTTGTGAGTAATTTAAAGCCAGGAATTATTTGGATAATTTTCTGAGTGATTTTGAGATAATTTACAAACAAGAAATGTAGGATGAGTAAATTATTTTGCTATGTATTACTTCTTCATCTCTAGTTTGAATAGTGAGAGAATCTGGCCCCAGTGCCTAGAGGTCATACTCAAGGATTGGATTTCCTGTGTGAAAGCTCTACAGTGTGATCACACAGTTGTACTGCATATTCAGTTTTGATATGTAACCTTTTAAATAAATTGGAATACTCTTTGTGCCTATACTGGCACACACAGAGAGATCATAAACAATAATTTTGTAAAGGTCACTTCCTCACTAAGAGCTTGATCTCATGGCAAGAGCAGCATAGGGCTATTAAAGGACTTTTATGCTTCTATTTTTTGGTGTCAATATTTTTGCAGCTTTGAAGCTCTGTTTAACATAAAGGCTGTGGAGTGTCCCATGCCATGGGTGAGTCTGTGCAGGCCTGTACTGTGAGACCCTGGGCAGCCTCCCTGTGCATTTTATAGCAAATGCCTGTTGGTTGTAGGATCTGGGGTTACTCAGCAGAGTGGAGCAGCATGCCCGAAGCTGGCAGCATTCCTCCTGCTGTGAATGAGGGGCAACACAGCAAGATCCAAATAGTGGAGGCTTTTGTGTCAGTAGAATCTCAAGACAACCAGGTATCAGGAACCTGGGCAATACATGAGTGCCAGCAGTGGCTGAGGGATCTGCACAAGGTGAGAGGTACCAGATGCTTGCCAAGCTCTGTTCAGCTGTATAGCACATTGCTCAGATTTTCCTGCTGCTGCCCTTCTAAGGTGCTAATGAAGTTGTTGCTTGAATAATTTTTTTTTGGTCCAGTGGAAAGTCTCTTGGTCTTGCTTGTCCCCAGCCAAATACTTTGTCTCAGAGGAAATGCTTGGAAGTTTATAGTCCGCCCAACCAACATTAAAACCACGTATATCTGCTGGCCTTCAGAAGTAAAAACAGATTTTGTTACAAACTCCCTTTATGCTATACCTATTGGACTGTTTTTTCCTGTGATTGACAAGATGGCCTAAATCAATATCCTTTCATTTTCAGATCTCTATTATTTTGAAGAAATACACATCTGTCTTGCTGACAGTGTAGGGGGAAGTTATTCACCACTGTAGTGGCATCAGAGGATACCCTCAGCAGGGTAAGGGGAGTCTAACTGGTGTCATTAAAAGAGCCCCTAGCCAAGATATGTATGGTATTTGCAGGGGGGCAGTTGAACAGGAGGCTGAGATGGTGCATTTTAACTGTGAAAAGTTGTTTTCTCTCCAGTGCTGCCTGCTGGTGTAAAGCCACCATGGCTCACGGAGGGAATGGGATGTTTGTAAGCGTATTGGCCTTACCCAGAGGGGTTGTAACTGGAAAACACCACAGTGTTCCTGGAGGAAGGATGTTTGATGTTGCAGGCATGGCCTCTCTAGTGGGCAGAGGTTGGTGCTATCTACACAGAAGGTGGTTCATCCATCTGCTTGTAGGGACACTCCCACACCTGCTCTGGCACAGCTTGAATTGTCCCAATCCCACCCCAGCTTCTGCTGCTGCTATCCGTTCTGCTGTGGTGTTAATTCAATACCTAGAATTTTGTTTAAAATTATTTCACTTCTTTCTCAGTGAGAAGTCCTTGAATGTATGATTCAGAGCTTTGATTTTCTCTTCTATGGAAGACCTGTGCCTAGCACCTGTCTGTGATCTTGGGGAGGTTACATGTACTCAACAACAGAAATATGTCAGCCTGAAAGTTTAAATTACTCAGGTATCTCTTATCCTGGAACATCTCTTCACTCTTTCTGAGGGCAAGCTGATAAAAATCCT